ACACGTGTGTGGGCCACCCCCAAGCCACATTTATAAGCCCACTACCAAACAACTACTTATAAACCAACATCCCAAGGGCTAAACTTTCCATGTGGAACAAAAGATGACTTTTTATATTGTCATTCCCAACCGTAACAACCATCTTTGTGCTGCGGATGGAAAAATTTGAGCCTCTTAGTGTGAAGGAGGAAAAACTTAAAAGGAGTCYATTCCTAAATAGTTGAACCTTCCACTTAATTGGAGAAAAAACCCTTACATTCTCATCTTAAATATGCTTGTTTAGAAAATAATAAAAATCTTACATGTTATTATTGCTGTAAATCTAACTAATGAAAACGAACTCTCCCTTTTGCAAGTTCCCATCAAGATACAAGGGGGCAATAGGATATAGACGGTTGCAAACATAAGGGAACCCAATCCCTCATTTTGCATTCTCATGATTATTCTAGATGCTGGAACTAACAATTTGGTGGAACGTCATAAGAGGTTTAATCCAAAGATGAAAAATGTAGTGAATAAGCTGGAGATACTAAAATGGCTAGATGCGGGGTAATTTACTGACCCTATTTYGTGATAGTAGTTGGTTGAACCCAGTACGATGCRTTCTAAAAAAAGTGGCATGATGGTAATAAAGAATGATGAAGCTSCATGAATTGATCCCTAGTAGAACAATAACTGATGGAGAGTATGCATTAACTACCACAAACTCAATAAAAAAATCATTTCCCTCTTCCATTTATTGATCAAACGCTTAACTGTTTTATAAGGAARGAATATATTGTTTTCTAGACAGATTTGGCTATAACCAGATTAYGATTGCCCTARAAGACCAAAAGAAAACTATGTTCACATGTGATAACTCTCCAAAAGAGAGTTATTCTAGTAATTATTTGGGTGATTTTATACAAATAAATGTCAACGTGTGTCGTTTTAGCTCTTAWACGCCACAAAAAATCTTAGCAATCCAACTTYGAGCTAAAGTCYCTTGTCTTGAATGCTTTGGCTAAAAATTGCACTAAATTATCTTATTTTGGGCTTAATWGCACAGTTCTRGAYAGAGGCGACAAAGCATGAAGAAAGCGCTGAGCTCCGGAAGGAGTAGACGAAGCATGTTCAAAGCAGAGCAGATAAGAGCTAGAGCGAAAAATAGCGGGAGCACGAATTTACAGCGCAGTAACTATCCCAGAAGCAGGATAAGTTACCATGCCTATACAACCTCCARTCGGGTGCCCTAAAATTGKGACCCRATATAAAAGGGACATTTTAASCTAGCCAACACTCACAGATCCCAATAGAGACACATCTTAGAGTGTTGGAAACAACAAGGAGGAAGAATSTCACCATTTTCGGGGAGAGAGYTGATGACAGAGGAGGATATTTGGTTACTGCTTCGAGCTGTCATCTCCATTCTCKATTTTCTTCTATTTTCTTGAAATKGGTTGTCATCTTCCTTTACCCATTGTATTTTVTTCTTTCTCCATRAGCTAAACCCCATTTTGGGGGAGATTTACATGCTGTAACTGGTAACAAATAAACTSTAGTTGATTTMTGTCGTTAATAAATAGAGCTGTGCGTATTCTTCTTAATCCTTACTAAACATTGTTGGCATCTCTGTTTTGTATGCTAGCGTCTGTATGACCCAGGAGGGCTTATKGGTTGCTGATTTGCTCTATTTGTGATTAGCTACTTTTTTCTAGTAGGGTCGTGGATGCTCAGGAATGAGGTCYCCTAATCATGCTTAGAACTTGCATTTATTGMTKGAATATTTAGCAACARGAGTTGTGGGTATTCATKTTTGGGTGTCTCGAAAGGKAACCATGTCAAGTTTAGCATTAACAACTGAWTTCGTGCTAGAGTGTAGGTTGSGGGTGCGTGAAAGCATGTTATGTCTCCCCCGCTTTTCCATATCTGTTTAACCCGCATTTTCGCTATTCTGTGYTGTAACTTCTTTTTGTTGTCAACAGTTTAAAGTGTGTTCATTGTTGAGATCGTTTATSGATTTGTTTATAATATTTTTCTTTTGTTGTCAACACAATCATTTATATTTTATTATTTTTGTACTTTGGTATCTTCAAGCACAGTTTACAATATTTTCTTAAGTCCCTGTGGATTCGACCTCGTTTYGTACTACAATCGACAGATATCGTATATACTTGCAYKTGTATCCAACACGGTTGTGTGGACGTAACAACATGCCCCTATAGAGTTTTTTCTATTAGAAGGATATAATTCAGTTACTSTAATGCRCCTACCACCTTTTCAAAGATGTATGATGGYGATTTTTTCAAACATGGTGAAGTAGACCTGGRGGTCTTTATGGATGAAAGTGTTAGACCAYTGTGAAAAGACTAACTTAATCTTAAAYTGGGAGAAGTATCATTAAGTATAGAAAGRAATTGTTTCAGCTACCGCATGTCAAGTAAAGGCACAYAAGTATATAAGGTCAAAATTGAACTAATTGCTAGGCTTCCACCACCTTCTTTAGTAAAGGGAGTTAGAAGTTTTTTGGAGCAGGCTRGTTTTTATCATCGTTTTAGCAAAGACATTGCTAAAATATCGAAACTTTTGTGCAAGTTGCTTGAAACATTTGAGTTTTACAATGGGTGCATGGAAGCATTTAACAAAACTTAGAGAAGCAGGTGAGAGGAAAGGTAAGATTCTACCTTCTCT